ATAAAGATTAAATATCAGTTTATTTAAAAGTTTTAACTTTACACAACAGAGTTTTTATTTTTCTTCTTCAATGATTTTTGTTACCAAGAGAAAGTTCTGTATGCAAACACAATCTCTCTTTCTACAAGTGTTTCTGACAGCAAAAATTGATCACTTTTTTTTTTAATATGTTCACACACACACACACACACACACGTGTGCAAATAAATGACAATAGAAAGATAAGAAGTCACATGTTCGATTCTCATAAAGAACTAAGGATCTTTATTGCTGATATCTCCTGACGATTGGACGGAGGGTACATCTATGAAACTCTAGAGTAGGGATATTGAGTATAACATCAATCAGCTAAATGTCAATTTTTTTTATATTCATATTAATTATTTATATATACACACAATATTTATCTAAAAATTATAACGTAAGTATGTTATAACATCTCAACAAAAAATAGCCATTTTGTTTCAACACTTTTAGTGTCTTGTCAAGTGGTGTAAAAGGTTTTACAATCAACACCATCACTTGACAAGACATCAGAAGTGTTGAAGCAAAATGGCTATTTTTGTAGGGATGTTATAACATACTTATGTTATAACTTTTAAATAAATATTATTCGCTCTACTTTGTATTAAGCCCGTTTTTTTAAGATAGTGTTTTTGGTTACTGGAATTTTATTCCATCAATACCAACCTTGTATATATATATATATGTGTATACATACATACATACATATATATATATATATATATATATATATATATATATATATATATAGCAAAAAACCAAAAATTACCTCAACAGAGAGATACTCTATTTCAAGTCATTCTGTACACAGCTACCATCAGCCCCTAAGAGTAATGTTGAGGTAATTTTTGTTTTTTTGCTGTGTTTTTATGCTTTGTTAAAATAAAAACATCGAGCTCTCTGTGGACCAGTTTTAATAATTAATATTACTAGGATCCACCCAGATTATATACCAACGGATTGATTACCTGTTCTAGAGATATATATATATATATAATCAATCACAGCAGTAACCTGCATACAAGTCTACATATCTGTTTTGTATGTATGTGTATATATATATATATATATATATATATATATATATATATATATATATATATAGATATATATATATATATACTAATTGTTTTAATACTAATAGTAATTTTTACTAATAGTTTTAATACTTATTTCTTAAAAACTCTCAACAACACCATGACTTATTTACCTCCCCTGAATATATATATTTGGGCAGCAATCCTTCATGGTATGTTTTATTTTCTTTGTGACCTTACAATTTTTAATTTTGATGGCTAAGTATATGGAGAAATAATCCATAAATGTCCTCCAGAACATTATGGGTAATATGTTAGCCCACTATATATATATATATATATATATATATATATATATATATATATATATATATATATACTCAGGCTAATCTACTGTACTCAATTCAGTGTTCTTCACTTCACAAGTAAAAAATAAATTTAACTTTCAGATGAATATGGCTATTTTATCTTTGAAACTGATGAATACTACAATATTTGTCTCAAAATAAACAACATCCTGATGATGGCATTATGTTATATCGAAAGTACTTAGAATAAAATATCCATCAACACAGTAATTTTCTGTCTTCTTTTAATAGTGACACTAAAAAGCTTGTCTGTGAATATGAAAGGATCCAATTGAAAATAAGTAAACAAAACTTGTCTAAATTATTTAATGAAACATGTTTCAATATATATACATATATATATATATATATATATATATATATATATATATATATATATAGGCAGTAATCCTTCTCTGATAAAACATGGTATGTTTTTATTTTCTTTGTGACCTTACAATTTTTTAATTTTGATGGCTAAGTATATAGAGAAATAATCCATAAATGTCCTCCAGAACATTATGGGTAATATGTTAGCCCACTATATATATATATATATATATATATATATATATATATAGCATAAAGAAAAAGTAGTGCACCAACCTTGTCCTACTCCGAAGCAATTCTGTGGTGAGAAACAAAAACCACCAGTCTACAAATTTCCAGAGAGACCATTGAAAGTAGAAGACAAACCCCTGAACTATGTAAAGTCTTTCACCTATCTTGGTAGCAAAGTCAACTACAGTGGAACTTTAGATGATGAAATCATGCATCGGATTGCTAAGGCTACCAGTGCTTTCGGCAAACTTCGCCATCGCTTGTGGAATGAGCGGAGTATTCGACCGGATATGGAAATTCGGGTTTACAGAGCTGCTGTACTTGCCATCCTTTTATATGGCTCAGAGTCGTGGATTCCATACAGGTACCATATACGCTATAAGAGCTGTCTGCGTAGCATCTGTAGAGTTAGCCTTCAAGATAGGACATCTCACATAGACCTGTTTAACAGGTGTAATATTGAAGGAATCGAGACTTTCCTCATACAGTCTCAGTTATGGTGGACTGGTCATGTCTTGAGAATGTCTGATGACAGGATACCAAAGATCCTAATGTACAGCCAGTTAGATCAGGGCTACAGGAATGTAGGACGCCCATGGCTAAGATACAAAGACAAGCTGAAAAGCAATTTGTTAGCTGTCAATATACTATATAACACCCTTGAGCGCTTAGCCTTGGAGCGGGTAGAATTGACATCAACATGTTTTAGTGGACTTAGCAGTTTTCAATCTGCTTGTCTGAATAATCTTCAAGAAGCAAGAGCAAGATCTAAAAGGTCAGCCAATCTAACAGTGATCTCATCTCACAATCCTCATTCTTGCTCCATATGTGGCCTCCTTTGTAAATCACTAGCGGGTCTTAAGTGACACTTAAGATTATCGCACAAAATTTCATAACTGAATCAACTAAGCTGTCAGATCCTCATACGTCGAAACTGATGGGAGAGTAGTTATTATTATTATATATATATATATAATATATATATATATATATATATTTGTGTGTGTGTAATTGGCATATAAATGTAAATATAGTTTCTCTCACAAATTGACATATTTCTGAACAACCAAATAATTGAAAGAATATGATTAATTTACTGCAGTTATGTAATAATAGTAGACACATACCAACCTAAGAAAACTTACATCACTTAGTATCCACCATAATTTCCTTTCCATAATGTCATAAGTTTTCAAATATTTTCAGATTCAAATTTGAATACCTTATATCATGTTTCTCAACAATGCTATGTTAACAAATACAGCTTTTTTCTTAATAAATATCTACATTTTGATTTTGATGAAATTCCTGGAGGAATTTATATATATATATATATATATATATATATATATATATATATATATATATATATATGAGAGAGAGAAAGCAGTTTTAGGAAAATTTATAACAAAGTGGAAAAAAAACATTCTGTGTGACACATTTCATCAATTTAGTTCAAACAAACCCTAAAAGACAAATGCATCACAAAAATTTTTTCCACTTTGTCATACATTTTAATAATATATATATATATATATATATATATATATATATATATATAGGATTAATACAAAGATAAAATTTTAAATTTATCACTTAGCTGATTGATATTGTATTCAGCACCTCGACTTCAGCATTTATAAACAAACCTTTTTGTAATCATTTGGTCCACTCATCAGGAGGTTTCAGCAATTATAGAAGGCCCTCGCTGATCAAGCAAAGCCTAATAGTGCCTTATAAGTGCAAATCCTTCTCAGTTTTTTATCGAAACTTAAAGCCATTTCTTAAGAAATAATGGATTTTTTTTTTATGTATTAACCTGACAAATCTTATCTCTTTAAACATTATTTTTAGTGGATACGTATATTTGAGTAGATGCTTCATTTGTTTATTAAACAGCATATTTATTTATTTTTGTCTACTAGATAAATACTCAAGAAATCTTATTAAAGAAAGAAAACCTGTCAGATTAATAAATAAAAAAATCCATTACTTCTTTAGAAATTGCTTTGTTTACAAAACTGAGCAGATAAGAACTTTCATGAATCTGGGAAGGATTTGCACTTATTCAGCTTTGCTTGTTCAGTGAGACTCTTTGTGGCTGAGTCTGTCTAAAGCACATCAGATCTAATAAATCTACAAACATACACACAGACACACCATTCAGTTGGTGATTATAGTAGTTTCCATACAATCACCACAGTTAAGCAGTGTTGAGACTGTTCAAGACCTAGATTGGTGACTGCATGGTAATACCAGGTGCTGTAAGGTTGGATGTGCAGGTGGTGTAATGGATAATGGCTTGGAATTGTTAAACAAAAAGCCAAGTTCCAATTCCAGTTGGGTTCATTATATTGACTTATCAATCTACATCCTCTTCTCCTATGAGTTAATTAGTAAGACTTGTATCACTAAATACTTATTATCTCTCCCCGCCCCTCCCCCAAAAAATATTCTTAAATTTTAAAGCTGTTTTCTGGCTTTAAATAACCAGCAATGGATTAATAAACTGTAGAAAATGAATCAAATAATCATTAAAAAAAAACATGGTTCAAAATATAAGGTTAAAATAAATGAGCTTCTAAAAATTAAGCATAAAAAATCAGATGGAGTGTCATAAAATCAAAACAGGCTGAACATTTGGGGAAAATGGCTTATATTGTCCTCTTTGGAATGTAGTTAATATAATAGACAATTTTTATGAAAAGTGCTTTGCCTGAGAGTAAAGACATCCTCCAGTTTGGAATAAAAAGCTGCCTATGTAAAGTCAGTAGAGAATTCATTACAGTATGGCTGCCTATACTGTGTAAAGGAACAAAGATAATGAAGAATTTTCACAACTGAAAATAATTGTATTACTGAGAAGATAAGCATCTGTACTGATCTACATTACAAAGAGATTTTATTCACTCTTATAAATTACTAGTGAAACTATAACAGAAAAGCCTCCAACATTATAGGATTTAATAAGGATTAAGATTAGGAGAAATCAGCAAACAGAAGGATATTAGGCCAAATAACTTCTGGAAGAATGTCTTTCTTTGTTAGTCACTATTTTGCTTTCATTCTCTCACTTTTGTTCTCTTTACTTAGTTTTTCTTTTTTTTTTTACTCTCTCTTTCTCTCATTTGGTAGTTGGTTTTCTGTTTTATTTGTTTCTTTCTTTCTCTATCTCATTTCTCACTTTTCTGCCTTTTGTTTCTCTTTAAGTGTCTCATTTGTTTCTCTCTTTCTCTTTTGCTTGTTTCTGTATCTCTTGTTTCTCTTTTTCTGTCTCATGTTTGTTTCTCTCTCTTTCTCATTCCTCTTTTCTCTCGTTCCTCTTTTTTTCTCTCTCTCGTTCCTCTTTTTTTCTCTCTCTCGTTCCTCTTTTTTTTTCTCTCTCTCGTTCCTCTTTTTTTTCTCTCTCTCGTTCCTCTTTTCTCTCACTCTCGTTCCTCTTTTCTCTCACTCTCGTTCCTCTTTTCTCTCACTCTCTCGTTCCTCTTTTCTCTCACTCTCTCGTTCCTCTTTTCTCTCTCTCTCTCTCGTTCTTCTTTCTCTCTCTCTCGTTCCTCTTTTCTCTCGCTCCTCTTTTCTCTCTCTCTCTCGTTCCTCTTTTCTCTCTCTCTCTTGTTCCTCTTTTCTCTCTCTCTCTCAGTCCTCTTTTCTCTCTCTCTCTCGTTCCTCTTTTCTCTCTCTCTCTCTCGTTCCTCTTTTCTCTCTCTCTCCTTCTCTCTCGTTCCTCTTTTCTCTCGCTCTCTCTCGTTCCTCTTTTCTCTCATTCCTCTTTTCTCTCTCTCGTTCCTCTTTTCTCTCGCTCTCTCTCGTTCCTCTTTTCTCTCGCTCTCTCTCGTTCCTCTTTTCTCTCTCTCTCTCGTTCTTCTTTTCTCTCTCTCTCTCTCTCTTGTTCCTCTTTTCTCTCTGATTTGTTGTTTCTGCCTCTCTTTTGTTTGTTCTTTTTCTTTCTTTATTTCCTCTTTCTGTTTAGTTTTTCTCTTGTCTTTTTGATTATCTTTTAGTTCCCCCCTCTCTCTCATATTTGTTTCTAATCTTTTCTATTGTTTCTTATTTTTGTCTCTCTTTAGTTTCTCTCTCTCTCTCCCTTCTTTTTTCCTTCTCTCTCTCCCCTCTCTATTTGTCCGTCTTTAGATCTTGAATCGGATTAAAAAGAATTTAATCAGTTTGCTTTCAACAACTGATTGTTATCATTACCTTTTTTTGCTCTCATGGCTTACAACTCTTTTTTTTTCTTTTTTTTTTCCTGTCTTCACTTTTTTTTTACGCCTCACCTTCTCATTCTTCTCACTATTTTGTATCCTTTGATCTTCAACCTAATAATTATTATTGTTGTTGTTGTTTTATTGACTTTCACTCAATTATTGTCTGACTTTAATATTTTAGACCTTCTCAAAACTTTGCAAAAAAATAAGTACAAAGTATATTTTACTTGTGTTTCTGGTCAGTAGCTGAATTCCAGATTCACAAAATTCTTGAACTTTCACATTCTGAACATTTTATTCACTCTCATTTTCAATATATTGTTGCTGAAGAGTTTCCAGTGAATGTTTACCAATTATCATTCTTATCTTCAAATTCTCTGACACCTGACATTCATATAAAATTCATTGTTAAAACAAACAGGAATATATATATATATATATATGTATATATACAGTGGGTAGCAAAAGTATTTAACACATTGGTTTTACTTACATATCTCAAAAAATAACAGATCAATTTCAATGAAACTTATAGGAAATATTTAAATGAACATTGTCAATCAAAACATAGAAGAAAAATTTAAAACCACTGTTTTGAGAAACATTTATTAACAATAAATAAAATAACCCATATGCAAAAGTATTTAACACACTTTACTAATATTTAGTATAGTAGCCTCTGTTCTGCTTCACAGCCTCCAGTCGTTTCCCGTAGTCTTCAACTAGTTTCTTGCAGGTACTTGTTGGTATTTTGACCCATTCTTCTTCACAAATTTTCTTCAATTTGTTTAAATTCAATGAATTTCTTTTATGAATTCGTAACTTCAATAGTTTCCACAAATTTTCGATTGAATTTAAATCCGGTGACTGCCTTGGCCATTCCAGGACATTAATGTCATTATTATTAAACCTATTCTTAGTTGTTTTAGCAGTATGTTTCCAGTCATTGTCTTGCTGAAATACAAAATCATGACCATGTCCCAAAGATGAGGCACTGTTCAAGAGTTGAGTTGACAAAATTTGAGTGTATTTTGCAGCATTCATTGTTCCTTCGATGATTTTCATTTTTCCTACTCCATCTGAGGAAAAACGACCCCACATCATAATATTTCCAGCCCCATGTTTGACTGTAGGGATGGTATTTGCTGGCTCGTATTCCGCTCCTTTTTTCCTCCATACATGAGTGCGGATGTTTCGTCCGTAAAGCTCAATTTTCGTTTCGTCTGACCAAATTACTTTCTCCCAGAAATCATTAGATTCAATTTCATATTTCTTTACAAAATTCAAACGGGCTTGTACATGTCGGCGTTTCAGTAATGGAGTCTTTCTCAGTGATCTTGAAGTGAGACCTGCACGATTCGGTGATCTTTTAATTGTATCTTTACTAACTTCAATTCTGGCATTTTTCAAATCATTCTGAATTTCTCGACGAGTTGAAAATGGATTTTTCTTTCCAGTACGGGAAATGTATCGCTCATTAGCCTCATTTAAGATACGGGGGACAACCACTCCTTTGAATGTTTTCAATAGTATCGAATTTTTTTCCATTTTCGAACAACAGCACCAACTGTACTCACAAGCAAATTCAAATCTTGAGCGATTTTTCTCTATCCCTTACCATCTTTGTGATTCTTTATGATCTTCTTGCGCATGTCGTTCGACAATTCTTTTGTTTTCACCATTTTCTTGCACTAGTGGCAACAGAATAGCTGCAGTATCTCAGAGCTGTTATCTAATAGCCAGTTGAGTGTTGTGCAGTGCTGTCATTGGTCGACACATCACATCATATCAATATGGGTAGGAATCATGACGACACGTCTCTTCTAGCATAATATTTGCATTGGCATTAAATACTTTTGCATATGGGTTATTTTATTTATTGTTAATAAATGTTTCTCAAAACAGTGGTTTTAAATTTTCCTTCTATGTTTTGATTGACAATGTTCGTTTAAATATTTCCTATAAGTTTTGTTGAAATTGATCTGTTATTTTTTAAGATATGTAAGAAAAACCAATGTGTTAAATACTTTTGCTACCCGTTGTATATATATATATATATATATATATATATATATAAAAGGAGGAGGTTATAGTAGTTCCAACGAGAGAAAAGTGTGTATATTAAAAAGAAGAGAGAAACCGCAAACGTTTTGGGTTGTAATGTGGATTTTGTTTTTAAATAATATGCTTTATTTTCCATAATTTTGCTACACGAGTTACCGGTCTCGTGACCATCATCAGGCAAAGGGTGGAGATTTCCACTTATTATTAAAAATAATTAAATAATTTTTTTCTTTGTTTTTCGATGTTAAATATTCTCGATATGAGATATTCTCTTTTTTGTGTTATTGATCCAAACGTCTTTCTTGAACTGGCACTGAAACCTTCTGCATGAAAGGTTATAAAACAATTAAGATTGGTTCCAGACATGATTGAGTAGTTATCAGCATGCTTATCTTTTAATGACCACTCTGTGTTCTTAGATCTATTTCCAATTTTGTGTGCTTTTGTCAGCATGTGTGTATGTATGTGTATATCCCCTCTCCATACATACACACTGTCTCACTCCGAGGAATCAGTGAACCACATCTGTACACCCACATACACATACATACCATTACAAGGAATCAGTACATACACACCCACATTCACACATATGTACATACATATTTTATATATATATATATATATATATATATATATATATATATATATATATATATATATTGTTTGTTTAACAATAGCTAGGAATAAGCAAAATTTATATGGCATTTTAAAAAGATAAAAAAGAACAACTGGTTTTGTCCCAGGACTTATCAAGTTTATTTTCTGGTATATAAAAAATATATAAGCATGTAAATTTAATTAATATAACAAATGGAAGGGGGGAAAAAAATGAATTTCAAGAAACTAGAGACCAATAACATTCAGACCCAGTAAGCATTCCCTCTGTTTACAAAGGGAAGACCCATGAGATCTGGTATACAAGGACTCTAGAACGTTGAGGTGATATGAGGAGTGGGACCTAGATAAAATCGAAAAACGGTTCACACTAAAATCAAACACACAATTCCTGCTATTTATTACATGCTCTGCAATAGCAGAGCCAGAAGTATTGTTAGTTGGCTTTTCCTGGCATTCGGATTCAAAATCTTGGTGGGTAAGTGTTGTTTTATTCTCAGATCATATATATATATATATATATATATATATATATATAAGTACAGTGTAAGATATAAAATAATATATTGTAAAAAAAAAGGCTGAAAACAGCCACGATTAAAAGATGCAATCGCACAAACTACTCCACTACTTAGGTTTCCACCGTTAGGTCTCCTGTATGAATGGCTAGTGATTTATTTATCTGTATCTCACTTATTTGAACCATTATTTAACTTCTTCTTTTAAAATTTTATTCCCCACCCTCACCTTAAGGCCTTTCCTGTTCTTTTTTCCGTTATACCTCACTCTAAAGCTTTCATACATTTACCTCTCACCCTTGTTTCTCAATCCCATGCATACAATCTCACTGAAATTTTGTTTTTATACCTGAGATGTTTTCTGTTTTCTTTTTGAATTTGTAGGTCTGATGAATTGGATTGTGATTATGATTCCAACATAATAAATAATAACCAGGGAATATTAGTGTTTGAGCCTTTTATATTATATTCTTGCTCTGTACTGTACATTGAGCTCTACCTAGATTTTATCATCTTGGAAATATATATATATATATATATATATATATATATATATATAAAGTGCGCAGGTATGCAGAAAATAGAAAAGAACACGTTGGGTACATAATCCGGAGTTCGTTAGTATTTTTGTTTTTATTTTTATTTTTAAAAAGACAGTGCTCCATACATAAGTAGAGCTTTATTATAATAATATTTTTTTTGTTTAAAAATATGATTCCTTCGCTACATAAGAGTTCTCATGTTTCAAAAACGAGAGCCGAAATCATCCAAATAATTATTAAAATTAAGTTGAATTGAGGTGTTTAGTCTCGTTTCATCTTCAAGCGAAATTTTATGAATTTTTTATATATATATATATATATATATATAACGTAAATGTTATTTTTTAGTGGATACTCGTATTTGAGTAGATGCTCTGTTTGTTTATTTATTAAACAGTTTATTAATTTCATCTATCAGCCTCAATATTCATTAAATGCTATTAGAGAAACATATGTGCTCTCCAGCATGATTCAAGCCTGCATTCCCCTCAGGGAAACCATAAGTGGAGAGTCTACATACAAGTATCCACTAAAAATAATGTTTATGTAATAAATGGATCTGTTGTATTAATAAATAAAAATCTATCCTCTTATATATATGAATATATAATATCACATGTTCATGTTATGAAGATGAACACACCTCTCCAGAAGAGGACTTGGACTCATCCAAATACATATAAACTGACACCAAGAATTGTCAGGAGAAGGAGTAAACAAGTAGAGAGTTGGAGATCTAGTTTATCTGCTTACTACCTATTTCAGCAACACTATGTCAACTTCAAATGACATTCTACTTCTTGATTGTGTTATCTCCATTCAATGCAATGAAGACATAACAGTGGTGAAATTAATTTTTATTGGAAAAATCACGTGTAACATCATTCCTGCAGGTAAAACTAAAAAAGCAAATGTTTACGTATTAAAAACTTCCAACTCAAATTTACTAGGTGTCAGATGTCT